CCTGAGCACCACCCTCCTGAGCACCGCCCCCTCCCTGAGCACCGCTCCAGCTTGGGACACAAGGCACCCTCCCCCCCAGACCTGAATCCTGCCTACAAAGCCCCACAGCTCCGAGGAAAAGGAAACTGACCCTGGACAGCACGGGCCAGAGCCTGCTTGTCCTCCAGAGACACAGTTTGGGGCTGGGTTAAAGGCTGGGGGGGGGGTCTGCTGGGAGGTGTGGCCTGGCTGCCCATCACAGAGGGCGGCCGCTGACCTCTGTTGAAACACAGCCATAGCTTTGGGCATGGGTAATTTGTAAGTGTTTGAGGGAGATCTTTCCAAACAAACTCCACAGTGAAAACCAGCTATAATCTTCAGCACTTACATAAATGGATGGATATATATATATATATATATATATATATATATATATATATATATATATATGAGTGTTATATATATATATATATATATATGATGGATATATATATATATATATATATATATATATATATATATGAACGAGAGAAATACCCTCCTCTTCCATTTCCATCCCAAAGAGGTTATATATCAGCTTGTCTCTGCAATTTGCTTTAACAATGCACCATGCTCATCTTTTTATCTAGGTGCATAGAGATGTGCAGCGTCGCTGATGGTTGTAGGAAGGTGCCGAATGGGTCCACTGATGGATATTTAGGTCTTAAATTTCTGCTGATGTGTTCCCCTTCCCTCAGCGCACACGAACACACATACACACACGTGCAGAGGAACCCGCATGGCCCTCTAGGCCGTGGAGTATATGCAATTTTTAAATTTAATACTTAGGAGTATATGCAATTTGCCAGCGTTATCAGCCTCCCACAGTGAATGGGAGTGCATTTCTCCTTACCCTTGCTAACTCCGGCTGCTGTTCTGTGCTCTGATTGGTTGGCCGTGCCTTCTGGTGTTTACCGTGAGTCACCTGAGCCAGCCCTGCAGCCAGGCCTGCTCCTCACAGAGCATAGGGAGCCTATGTCCTTCTGTCTGTCCGTTCCTCCATCTCTAGAGCAATGGCGGCCCACCTTTGTTCCTTCACCTCCAGCCCCTAGGGGCCCTTTCTACACGGGATGTCTCCACTCCAAATTCTTTTATTTGGTGTGTGTGTGGGGGGGGGGGTTCTACCTGAAATGCAGGTCCTTACATAAACCACTTGAATTCAAAAATTGCTTTATCTTCAGGGGACTGAACTAGGTGAGAAAGTCTCCACGAACAGTTGTGCATTTTAGAATTCTTGCTTGTCCGCTGTTCACCTCCTAACTTGCAGCTCCCTAAAAGGAGGGAGTATGCCCAGAATGTTCCTTCAGTCACAGAGGTGATGAGAGCTGGAAGTGGAACTGAATTGGGAGACAGAATTGAGAGACAAGAAGCCCCAGGACAGAAGAAAGAGGCACTTGTGGACTTGTGGGTTTATAATCCCAGTCATTTCCTAAAACAAACAAAAGTTCATTGTGGTGTGTGTATGTGTGTATGTGGGTGCAAACATGCATGCCTGTCCTGGGGCTTGAACTCAAGGCCTGAGTGCAATCCCTGAGCTTTTCTGCTCAAGGCTGGCATCCTACCACTTGAGCCACAGCTCCACTCCTAGGTTTTTGTGTGTGCGGTTAATTGCAGATAGAATATTACAGACTTTCTTGCTTGGGCTGGCTTTAATCTCGGCCTCATAGTTAGCTGGGATTCCAGGCCTGAGCCACAGACACCTGGCTAGGTTGTGATTATTTTAACTGATCATGGCCGGGGAACATCTCCTTTAGTTCTTACAAGGGCTAAGAATTTTTCAAATGCATTTGAAGTATCATTCTGGTCTCCAAATTCTAGTGTTTTCCCTTAAAGGATTGAGTTTCCAATTGCTTTTTGAAGTATGAGCATAGCAAAATCCGACCTTGCAATAGTAATCCTTATTCATTACAATTTCCATTTCCCTGCAAATCTTTACCCTGAGCTAGTGTATGTTAGTAGAATAAGCGTGGACTCTTTTGCCTGTCACTATTATAGTAGCAGTGGTCGTCGTTGTTGTTGTAGTAGTAGTGCCAGTGCAGCGGGGGCTTGAACTCAGAGCCTAGGTGCATCCCTTTTTACAGGGACTGTGGGTGTGTGCCACGGGTGTCAGTTTGCCTGGCTCTGTTTTGGTAGGCATTTCTCCTGTGGAGATGTAGCCCTGGGCCAGGCTTTGTGCACACCCACTCTGCGGGGCTCAGGGGCGTGCGCTCTGCCTCACTGCAGACGGGGCTGGGGATCTGCTTGCTCTGGCTCCACTGCCGCTAGTGGCCGGCCATGGAGAGCCTGTGGTCGGCTGGGCAGAGCCCTGCCTCTCCACATCAGGGTGAAGGTTTGGTGTGCAAGGCCTCTAGGCCGGAGCAGGCATTGCCAAGGGCTCTCAGCCGCTCAGCTTCCTCCCCCACCCCCTGGAGAATTCATTTATTATTTTTGGAGGTACCAGGGCTTGAACTAGGGGCCTTGTACCTGCTAGGCAAACCTTTTATGGGTTTTATTTTTAAATTTTTATCAACTTTATTATTATTATATTTATTATATTTTTTTTGTCAGTTGTGGGGCCTGAACTCTGGGCCTGGGCACTGTTCCTCAGCTCTTCAGCTCAAGGCTAGCACTCTACTACTTGAGCCTCAGCCACTTCTGGCTTTTTCTGCTTATGTGGTGCTGAGGAATGGAACCCAGGGCCTCATGCATGCAAGGCAAGCGCTCTACCACTGAGCCACCTTCCCAGCCCCGACTTTATTGTTATGACAGAGGTGATGTACAGAGGGATTACAATGACACGAGTCAGGCAATGAGTGCAGTTTCTTTCATACAATGTCTTCTGTCCCTCACTGTCTCCCAGGCCTCTGTCCCGTCTCCTCCCACGAGTTGTATAGTTCACGTTCATCAGTGTCCAGTGAGCTCCATGGCTACGCGTGTTCACCCTTTTCCCTCCAGTTCTGTGCCCTCCCTAACTTTTTTTTGCCGGTCCTGGGGCTTGAACTCAGGGCCTGGGCTTCTTTTGCTCCAGGCTAGCACTCCTCATTTGAGCCACAGTGCCATTTCTGGCTTTTTCTGTTTCTATGATACTGAGTAGTCAAACCCAGGGTTTCATGTATGCTAGGCAAGCACTCTACCACTTGAGCCACAGCACCATTTTGAGCTTTTTTTTGTCAGTTGTAGGGCTTGAACTCTGGGTCTGGGAGCTCTTCAGCTCAAGGTGAGCGCTCCACCACTTGAGCCACAGCGCCACTTCCGGTTTTCTGGTGGTTAATTAGAGATAAGAGTCTCACGGACTTTCCTGCCCAGGCTGGCTTTGAACTGTGATCCTTGGATCTCAGCCTCCTGAGTAGCTAGGATGACAGGCATGAGCCACACTGGCTTGGGCTGGTTATTTTTGTGGCAGGGTCTTGGCTTTGGGTGTGCGGGTAGATTATGGGATGAGACACTTTGGCTTTCTGTTGTCCAGTTAGGCGTTGCCAGGCACGGGGCCGAGCCCCACCCAAGGAAGATTTGGAGGTAGACTTTGCTAACCCAGTGGTCTTGCTCCCTGTGAATACTCGGACGTTCAGCCGAGTGGTTTTGCTGCTTCCTGACCCAGGCAGAGGCGAGACTCAGGACAGAGCTGCTCCCCGGGGGCCTGGGCCCGTGGGACAATAAATAGCAAGGCTTTCACCCGTGTGACTCTACCTACCTTTCCTTGCAGAAACGAAGTTTAACTTTTCCAACCCAGAACATCTTAATGAACTCTCAACGTATGGATTTAATTCCATCTTCAGTAGAAGACTGGGAGGCATGAGAGAGGTCCCCGACACCAGGGATAAAAAGTAGGTTCTTTCTAAATCTGTTTCCAAAAATAGTTATGAGCGTTTGATTTTAGCATGTTAGAAGTCTTGCAGGATGGGTTTCTCTTGTAGGTCTAAAAGTTAGATAAACTGTGGTGGCTCATACCTGTAATCCCAGCAACTCAGGAGGCTGAGAGCTGAGGATTGCAGTTCAAAGCCAACCTAGGCAAGAAAGGCTATGAGACTGATCCCTAATGAACCACAACAGGCTGGAAGTGAAGTTTAGCACTGGCCTTAAGCACAGAAGCTTAGGGATGGCAGCCAGGCCCCAGCTCAAGCCTCAGGACCAACCACGTGAAGATCTTAGCTCAGGAAGATATTATCAAGGTGCAGAAAATAGGAATAGCTAGAACATTTTGGAGGTTTCTAAGAACAAAATCGCCCATGGGTCTTTTATTCAATCGCCAGTGAGGGCCTTTCACCAAAGGTGAGCTCATTCCTAATAGAATTACTTGCCAAAGCTATTATTTTCTCCAAACCTGCTTAGTTTTCATTGTTCCCTCAGTCATTTGAGTTAGTGCCTGGACTACAATCTGCAAAATACAAGTAACACTGTAGCCATCTTTAAGTGAAGGTTTGGTGGTGTAATAAAAGCACAGTCCTCAGCCCACCCAGCTCCAGAACTTTCTCATCAACCAGTCTGAAACTCTGCCCCATTTACCACCAGGACACAGCACCCTGGCCGAAGCCCACACTGCGTCCTGTGCCTGGGGACCTGGCCACCAGGCACCCCAGGAACTGAGACCCCGCAGTCTCTGTGTTCTAGGGGGTGAGTTTGCCTCTCTCAGCACAACATCCCAGGTTCAGCCCTGCTGTGACCCGGATGTGTTCAGGACTTTTAAATTTAGGAAAAATACTGGGAAACATAGCTATCACCCAGTAATTTCAAGAAACTGGAACTATGGAAAGCCACAAATCCTACTTATGACGCAGCACACACAAGAGATACAGGTTTTGTGCATAACAGCACGGTCTGTGCAGAATAAAAGACAAAAAACTTCAATATTCTCAGCCATGGGATGTGGTATGAATTTAATTTAGAAGGCTTTTTGTGTGTGCATGTGTGCAGTACTGGGGCTTGAACTCAAATTCTCACTTATTTTCCCGTAGCACATCTTTGCGCAAGGCTGGCGCTCTTCCACTTGAGCCACAGCTCCACTTCTGGCTTTTTGCCAGACAATTATTGGTCAGAGTCCTGGCTGAGCACAAACAATGATCTTCAGATCTCAGCCTCCTGAATAACTGGGATTACAGGCCTGAGCCACCAGTGCCCAGCAAAAGGGACAATTTTAAATCATCTGAATAACTACCACAAAAGTCAATGCTTTTTAATTACAGTAAGTTGGATTTCTTGCCAGGCCCCGTTTCTCCCCCTAAATCGCATATAAAATTGCCTCCTCTTTTCATCAATGATCACTTGTTTAAAAAACACAGAAAATTCAGAGATTTGTCTGAGAAGTGGACCTGGCAGTGATAGTATTCAAAATGGGATCTTGTAGCCGGGCGCTGGTGGCTCACGCCTGTAATCCTAGCTACTCAGGAGGCTGAGATCTGAGGATCACAGTTCAAAGCCAGCCTGGGCAGGATAGTCTCTTATCTCCAATAAACCATTATTGCCTTGAGCTGAAGAGCTGAGGGACAGCACCCAGGCCTAGAGTTCAAGCCTCATGATCGACAAAAAAAAAAAAAAA